AAATAAAAATTATTGTCAAAACATTAAACTGTATTAATGCATTAGGCGTACATAGCGGCATATGTTCTTCGGTGTAAGTATATTTGTTTGTGTGGCTGTTTATAAGTATATGTTGGCATGTGTGCTTGATGTTGCAGCTGTATGTTTTATGAATATGCGCTTATGTGTGTTCATATGCAGCCCGTGGGTGCGTTGATAGAATTATTAGCGTATGATTGCACGTGAATAGAAATCTAGGAGTAAATCAGCTTATTGGTAAAAAAAAAAAAGAAAAGAAATTACATTCGATGTATCTAACTCGCATCTATGTGGCTGTCTATCGATCGATTGATCGATCATAAGATGTTTATAAATGCTTACACCTTACAATATTATTCTTAATATGATCTTTTATCATTCTGTATGAATATGTATGGGTATTGAATATATATGGGCATTCCTTTATGCGCACAAACGTACAATGGCATAAACATAAACATGAGCTCTTAATGAATACGTGTATATTGGTGAAGAAGGGTTTCTTTTATTCATACACGTAAATATTTCGTATTCAGTCATGTGTACCGCTTAAAACCATTGATTGCAGATATAGTTGCGTGCGTGTGTGTGTGCGCGCACGCTCGTGCATGTGTAAGTGAGCATGCGTGCGTGCTCTGTGCGCGCGAGTATGAGTTAATAAAAACAAAAGGCTTAAACATTTCCTTTAATTATCCTTTCATCCTCTTACGTTATTATTCTTTTATTTAGAGAAATCATATATGATCAATAAGTTCTACTTATTCTTTTTAGGCGCAAAATACAGCCGCATATTTCCTCACATGTCTACGTGTGCATTTCAAATATGTATAATATACGAAAAATACATACATACATACATACAAAAATACATACATATATATATATATATATATATATATATATATATATATATATATGTCATATATGTATATGTCATATATATATATAGCATAATGAGAAGCCACGTATACTTTCTTAATATGTATATATAGAAAAAACTACTAAAAAGTTGCAAATTAAAAAAATAATAATGTTTTTTATGAAAGTATTTATTTATATTTGATATTTCAGATCGACCTCGATCTTTCTTCAGAAATAACTGTTTTTAGAGGTTTGTTTACAAGTAGCGTCCATCGCGAGATGCGGACGTCACGTAATTTTTTTTTAAACAACGTCTAAATTATTATTACCGTTAGATTTACGTTAAAAATATTCGAACACAGTGGCGTTCCATATCATATTTTTGCCATTCCTTGCCTTTAAAGGAGTGCCCTTTGCCGTGCCGATGTTGCTACATGCCTTACTTCTTGCCTATCTCACACTGCGAAATTTTTCTAAGCTCTATACTAAACATTAAATCTGTTACGAAATAGAACTAAACAAAATGAACAGAAAACGATCAGATTTAAAAAAGGACTCGTAACTGGAAAAACCGAATGAAAAAAGAATGTTAACAACAAATACTTTTTCACACCCAAACCAGTTCTGCGGAATCAGAATCAACGTTGAGTTAAATCAAGCGAATGAGCCAATTGGAGTAAAGTGCCATGCAGATTTAAATTTTTCCCACTTGTGACGAATGCAGCTATCGATTGTTTTTGCATGCTAGCATGCTAGTTAAAATTCGTGTCAGTCAGCTGTTGGCTCTCATGCTGGCCAATAGAATCTTCCTGCCTATTCATGGCAACCAGCTATAGGCTCTCACTCTGGCCAGTACAAAATGGCCGCAAACTACATGAAAAGTGCCGTAGACGCATGAAAAAATCGATTATTTCCACTATCAATGGGAGTTGGGAAATGCAAAGTCGATCTTGGCCTTCCCACTAACTTGAAGCATGTGCATGTAAATTTTGGTGCAAATCCGTCGAAAATTAGGCTTATCAGACAATATGAAAGAAACATACTTAAAATAAATAGACACAAACTGTCTATATTATTTAATGAAACATGCATCAAGGAAAAATTGCTGCCTAAATATATATATATATATATATATATATATATATATATATATTTAAAAAATCAAAACTACAAAGAACGCACATCATTTAATTCAGTATTCATTATTTAATTTTAGTTCAAATGCGCCTTAAGGAACTGTGCGCCTGACCAAACTGAACTCATAAATAATTACATCGGTCACACTACTACATGTCTATCCAGACGCTTTACGTTACACCTATCCGACCACAGCTCCATCAGAACCCATTTAAACACGCACACAAACTTACCGAAACATACTAGTAGAAAATACAAGTATAATAACCTCATCCGCATGTAAAAAAGATTAAAAATAATGGAAGCCTTAATAATAAAAAAGAAAAAGCCAACATTCAGTAATATTAACTACAAACACGGCCACAACGTGCTGACTGTGTTCGGAAAATAAAACATCCCTATAACTCTAGATAAATACACACAACCCATACATCCAGTTAAAATCATCCTTGATATTGGCTAAAAGTATAGCCGAAAGCGCCCGGAAATGCAGAACATTTGAACAGTTTCTACACACTTTGTGTCCAGAAAAGAAAACACTTGTTCGAACACAAGAAAAACGGAGTATCATTGTATTAGCCTCCTTCGACACGGATTTTTTGGCAATGTTTAATTTCATAGCATGGTAAATATGAATGTGTATATAAATATCTTTCCTTACATCGCACAAAAATCAAAGTCCCACTTGTACAAATTTCAAATTCCGGTCATCCGCACAGGCATAACAGCCGTTATTAAAAAGCTGATCAATAGAGCGAAACCTGTCCCTTTCCTCATAGACTATGCGATAAAGAATTTTTAAAAAATCCAAAGAATACACGTAAACAACGGATTTTCTATGTTGTTGACAAACAAATAAAACTAAATCTCAAAGGACTTCACAACAACAACGTAAAAAGTAATACAAGCAATAATATAATAAACATTGTATTGTATTGCAACCAAATGCACCTAAACAATAAACAAGGCAAAATTCAAGAGAGAGAGAGAGAGAGAGAAAACGAAGCAGAAAAAAGAAGGAAAAAAACAAGACATTTCAGGCGCCATTGCATATTTGCACTTGAATGCAATATATACACATTGACAGATTTTATTATTGTTTTCACAATAAATTAGATGTTAGTAAAATATTCAGTATATATTTATATTTATATGATAACTATATAGTGTGAATTTCAGCTTATAATATCTGTTTTTATTTAAAATATTAACAATTTATTTGCTGAGATTTTTAAGCAACTCAAGGGTTGTTCATTAAATTCTAAATAAATACATACTGATATTTACTTTTTAAATTAAGATGTTGGCATTCGTCAAGATTCTCTACTCGGTTCTACCTTCTTTCAGTTCTATATTAATGATCTGCCACATAAAAGCACATACTCCGATCTTTAATGAATCTATGCAACAGTTTATAGATGCACCTCTAATTATCTGGATGATCAGAAACGAGAAGCTGATCTCTTCTCTGACTTAGCCCTGGAGGTTTAATAAGGGAAGGAGTGATCTAAATAGTAACGATTCACCATCACCGTTCAGACCCAGAATTTTCTCCTATCATGATGGGTGGGTGTTCTCTCAATGAAACTCCTTCCTTGAATTTCTATTGGGACTCAAGCTCAACCCAGACCTCACTCAAGTGGAACTCATATATACGATCTGTTGCTAAAGATCCTTGTATCAATCCAGTATCTGGCTCCTCCTGATATACTCTTTCTTTTGTAAAGATAGACCCAGATCAGACAAAAATAGAGTATTGCTGTCCAGTCCTTACTTGCCTGTCTAGATATTGCTGAAAAGCGTCTACGTGTCTTTCTGGGTGATGAAGTATTACCCCACCCTCCCGACACCTTTCCACAGACGAAACGTTGCAAGACTGTCGCTATTATATATTATATCGCTATTTCCATGGCAAGTATTCTGAAGAGTTACATTTCTTGCTTCCACCAGTACTGACCTTTGCAGCTCATTTTTTTTCGTATTCCATAAGGAAGTTCCACTCGGACAGTTTCTACCCAAGAAATGTTGCTTTGTGGAACAGATTCCCGACAAGATACTTTTTCGATCACTACAATCTTAACCTCTTCAAGTCTAGGATTAACTTTTATATTTCCTTCATAGCCTTCTAAACAGCACTTCTTTCCTTCACTTAGGCTCATACAACAACACAGAGTAACATTCTACCTTGAGTAGCTCTTAGGCCTTGTATTGGGTGAACATTAGTAAAAGAAATAATATACATCAGAAAGATATAAACCCAAGAGAAACAAGATATGGTAATATTTACAAAATAATAATAGCATTGATTGAAGAATGAAAAGAATGAAAAATACCACATTTAAGTAAACATCACAATGAGAAATGTAATATTGAGCGAAGAAGTACATGAAAACTGATTTCTCAACTGTGTTTAGTGATAAATATAGAGCTACATTGAAGTAGGAGTCGGGAAGTTGTGCCTTTCAGGGAAATAGCCACTCAACACAATTTAGAAATCAACAGGGAGGAAGTGAAATAAAATCTTAAGTTAGAATTGAAAATAGAAAAAATAAATTATAGCTTCATTCAAAGTTGATGATCAACATCAAAATAAATGTAGAAATTTACTTAGTTCTCGGACAAAATATTTTTTGAGCGGTACAGATAAAGTATATATGTGCATGTGTGTATGTGTGTGCGTGTGTACATGTGTTTGCGCGTGTGTGTGTATTTCATTGATAGATTGATTCGTTTTCTACGTCTTATTAGGTTATTTAAAGCCAGAAAATATTTTCAGATTGTAAGAACATTTTGAGATGCTAATTTAGAGATACAAGTCATACTAATTAACCCATAGATGGGGAGAGAAGAGGTGGATTCCTACCTTTCCCAAGCATATTTGCGCGTAAGTTAATATAACGAACCAACCTGGAATTGGAAATCGGATCTCCGATTAACAATTCTGAGCCATTATCCATTACACCACCCGCACATCCAAGCTTAAA